CTTGTAAAATTGACCAAGGCACAGATGCAGAAGAGCTGGTGCAGTGAGGGTGATGTGGGAGGTTAGGGGTGCTTGTGGGCAGTGGAGATGGCAGTGAGGAGGGCCACACCACCCCAGTGCATCCCACAGGCCACCCAGGAGCACTCAGGGGCCCCCTGCAGCTGCGGAAGCAGCAATCACACCTCCTGCCTGATAGTGATCAGATGTGATGAGAAAGTGAGAAGTCACAGCTGGTGCCAGAGAATGGCCCTCACTCATGTCCCCTGTGAATCAGCTGAAACTTCTGATAGTTTCATCTATACCTGTAATTCATCTTTTACAGTATCTTCAGTAAAATATGGCAAATGTTTAAAAGACGATAACCCTATTGAAAAGAGGGGTATAGGGACTGTAGAAAGCAATGAGATAATGTGTTCACCTCCAACTATAGACTCTCTTATTGTGATTTAGACTTTCCTAAATGAAGAAACGGATAATTAAAGATAAGGAAATTATTGTTTATTTAAGAAAAAAATAGATGCTTACAGTTCAAATTAAAGCAAAATTAAATTAAAGGTCAAATCAAATCCACAGGAATAAAAATTAGACCTTGAGTCTGTCTCACCTGAATTTAAGAACCAACTTAGGAACGGGTTTGAGACATTGAATGCTAATGAATGAAGACCAGATGAGCTGTGGGAAGATATCGAGAATATAATCCATGGAGAATACAAAAAGTCATTACAAAGAAGGAAGAAGAAAAGACCAAAAGAGATGTCAGAAGAGATTCTCAATACTGCGCTAGAGCACCAAGAAGCCAAAGCAAAGGGAAGAAATCAAGACGTTAAGGAGCTGAATAGAACAAAATCAAGCCTCAAGTTGCAATACTTCAGCATGCTGTGGGCAGAGTATTAAATGATCCAGGAAGTATTAAAAGAAGATGGAAGGTGTATATAGAATCACTGCACCAGAAAGAATTGGCTGACACAGAATTTCAAGAAACAACATGAGCAAGAGGCAATGGTGATGAAGGAGGACGTTCAAGATGCTCTGAAGGACTTGGCAAAAAATAAAGAACCAGAAATTGATGGAATACCAATTGACATATTTCAACAAAAAATGTTGCCCTTGGACATGCTCACAAGATTAATCCAAGAAATCTGGAGGACAACTACCAGGCCAACTGACTGGAAGGGATCCATATTTATTCCCATTAAAAAAAAAGGGGGGGGGTGACTTGATAGACTGTGGAAATTATCATGCAACATCACTCATCACATGCAAGCAAAACCCTGCTGAGGATTATAAAGAAATGACTGGAACAGTACGTTGACAGAGAACTAGCAGGAGTAAGAGCTGAGTTTAGAAGAGGTCCTGACACTAGAGACATTATTGCCAATATGAGATGGATCTTGGCAGAAAGCAAAGAGAACCAGAGGATTATCTATTTGTGTTTCATTGAATACGCAAAGGCATTTGATTGTGTGGATCACAACAAAATGTGGTTAACGTTGAGGAGCATGAAAGTCCCAGAACACTTGATTGTGTTTATGCAAAACCTGTATTTGGACCAGGAGGCAGTCCTCAGAGCAGAGCAGGGAAATACTACACAGATCAATACCAGGAAGGGAGTGCATCAGGAACATATCCTATCTCCATTCCATTTCAATCTATGTGCAGAACACATCATTCAGGAAGACTAAACTTTATGAGGAGGAATGTGACATCATGATGGGAGGAAGAAGACTCATCAACAACCTGCAATATGTAGATGACATGACCTTGCTTGCCGAAAGTGAGGAAGCACTAGTTGCAGAAGGTCAAGTACTCTAGTCTTCAGTATGGATTGAAGTTCAACATTAAGAAGACAAAGATTCTCATCCCTGGGCCAATTGGCAGTACCATGCTGGATGGAGAAGAATTTGAGGTTGTTGAGAGAGGTCGCTCAGCTCCACAATCAACAATCTTGGCACCAACAATCAGGAAATCAAAAGACAAATTGCATTAGGTAAATCTGCTGTCAGGTACCTTTACAGACTGCTGAGAAGCAATGATGTCGGCCTAGAGTCTAAGCTGCACCTAATTCAGACCATGGTCTTTGAAATTACTAGCTCTGCATCAGAGAGCTGGATAATGACTAAGGATGACAGAAGAAGAATCGATGGTTTTGAGCTGTGGTGCTGCAGAAGAGTCTTGATCATACCATGGCCTGCCAAGCAAACAAATTGATCTATTTTGGACAGGGTAAAAGCAAGTTTCTCCTTGGAGGCTAGGATTTTGAAGTATTGTCTCCCATACTTTCAGCATGTGGCCAGTTGGGATCAGTCCTTGGAGAAGGACATCATGTTCAGAAGGGTAGAGGGACAGTGCAGGAGAGGAAGATCCCAAAAGAGATGCATTGATACAGTAACTAGGGCAATAGAGGTAGGCGTGTCTGAGTTACAGGTTCTTATTGGCCACATCACGTGGTCATGTCTTCTGGTCTCACTTGGTCTGGTTAGTCCTTGCTCGTGAACCTAAGATTTGGTCTAATTTGAAAGGAAATAGAACAAGGACCAGATTTTAATGGCCTTCAAATGTCTGAGGAAGCCAATGTCTGACTCTTCCAGGGTAACGAATTACACCTGGGTTCTTCATTATTTACACCGAAAGTGCGTGTAAACACACACACACACACACACACACACACACACACACACACACACACACACACACACAGGAGCAGTCCTCAACCAGAAGGGACCAACTGCTCCCTTTGTTTTTTTGTTCTATTGTGTCTCTTATATGTCATCTCATCAGGGATCTGAGCAGGCTGGGGTGGGATGACAGACCCCTGTGAGGACTCCGAGGCTCAGAGAGGTGGTGTAATCTGGGCTGTTATACACCAGACAGGAAAAGACTGTGATCCGGTAATAATGTTGCTGTTGTTGTGAGGGGCTATCGAGTTGACTCTTAGCGACCTTGTGAAATACAGATCTGAACTCTGTCCTATCCTGTGCCGTCCTCACAGTCTCTGACACATGCAAGCCCATTGCTTCAGACTCTGTCTCAATCCATTCGGTCAAGATCCTCCTCTCTTTTGCTGACCCTCCACTTTTCCAACCACAGTGTCCCCCCCCCCCCCAAGGACCAGCCTCTCCTAGCAACATGCCTGGATATGTGAGCTGAAGCTTTTATCATCTTTGCCTCCAAGGAGCACTCTGGCTGCACTTTCCCCAAAACATGTCTGTTTGTTCTTTGGGCAGTCCGTGCGATGTTCAGAACTGCTCTTCAACAACTCAAATGTAACCTCTTCAGCGTTCCATGGGATACCCAGTGAGCAGTAACTTCTTCTGAGATGTCCATCAGAAAACACCATCCACGTGGTCAACTAGAGGTGGTCACAGTGGCATCCTCCAATTTGCAAGCCCTTATCCTCTTTTGCTCGGAGACCTCCCTTCTCTCCCATGAGAGCTGCACAAAGGAGGTTCTTCTGAGCACCATTCTCTTCCTCCATTTCTCTGCACCCCACCCTCCCCAGGCTGGCTCTGTACTCAGGTCCATTAACCCCTATCCCCAGGGAAGTTTCTGCATTTATACGTCCTCCCTGATATTACACCCCATTTGCCTGCTATTACACCCCAAGTGCCCCTTCCACTTCTCTGAGAGAGACATACGAACATTCTCTGGTCCTGGAGACAGAGCTCAGGGGTAGAGAAGAAGCCCAAGGCAGCCGTGGCCGGGGAGTAGGAAGGACCTGGGCTGACCTGTGCTGGTCCAGGAGGGAGAGTCTCCAACACCTGTTAGACGCTAACACCGCCCTGAGACCAGGTGACCCGGAGCAGCAGAGCAGCAGTGTCTCCCCGAAAATGGAGAACCTGGAAGGTGAGTCCTCTGTCTGTGTCCTCTGTGGGTAGAGAACAGGTGGTCATAGCAGGGGTGTGTTGCAGGCTTGGTAACCCAGGTGAGGGAAACTGCTTTTTCAGGTGCAACCTCGGGAACTAAATAAGTATCGGGACCTTCCTGATCCCGTCTCCTAAGTAATCCAGGTGACAAAACGTACCTCCCACACTAGAGAGAATAGACTCTGGTTCTGTTATTCAAGTGCCTGGCACACACAGCATCTCAGCTGGCTCTGGCACAAGGACTGGCACAGGGTGAGGCCAGCATGGCGCTAGGAAAAGAAGTTAAGAGGTCCTTCCCTGAGAGAGTTCACACTGAGGTCACTTATTTCCAACCCTGTGACAGAACATTTTTAATGATCCATTTCATGGTCCCCATCTTCTGTGAACCTCCAGGATCACAATGAGGGGGACCAGGACCTTTTTCTTCTGCCAAGTCCGAGAGTGAGAAGCAAAGTGCTTCCAGGGGCTTGACAGGACCTCACACAGAGGAGGGTGGGAGTGGAATGGGAACAGGAAGGTTCAAGGTCAGGTCCTTCCTCCTTAGAGCCCAAGACAGTGTGAAACAGTATGGCCGGCAGGACTAAGTAGCGTGTCTGTCCTTTGTCAGTCAGTCAGTCTTTCAGGCCAGCCACAGATTAGAGCTGATGTCAGCAGTATGGTGTGTGGGCACAGACAGACTCCTATGCCCTGAACTCCACTTGGGAAGAGAAAGTTCAAATTTGAGAAACTGTCCTAAATCCTGAAGCCCAGGGCCTCAGTCAACATCTACTGCTTGTCTGGTGTTCCCGGGAGCTCCGGGGCTTAGTGCTAAGTGTTTGCACCGCTAAACCAAAGCCTCATGGTTCAAACCCACCAGGTGGTCAGTATGAGAAGGACGGGCAGTCCCCTCCCGGGTGACTTTCTGGCGTCGGAAACCCTCTGGGGGTCAGCTGTGAGTCAGCTCGGACTGTTTACTGAGCTCACAACAACAACAACAACAACAAGCGTGTGCTGAGCTCTCACGGGACCAACCCAACCCTGAGACACCGGACAGTGAGGACTCAGGTCTCAGTGCGGGCAGGGGTGTGCGCATGCGCAGTTGTTCTACAGCGTCTCAGGTCCTGGCTTCCTTCCCGTGGGCTCAGGGCTCCTCTTCTCTAGACGCCTTTCTACACTCGGGTCCAGTACTGGCCTCCTTTGCATGGTCACCGCGAGACCAGGACCCTAGGAACAGCCATCACCCTCATTAACTTCTTGGCCCCAATTGGCCTCTTCTTCTTTTTCTTTAGTAGTTATTTTTAAAATTTTGTTTTATATTCTTTTACATAGAAAGTTAACATACATTGTGTTTCCCACTATTCTTCATTCACATTGTGTGTTATACAACCATTACATTGCACTTTTATGAAATTGAGCACATTGGACTATGCCCGTCATTTGCTGGTCTTTTCAGGTCCCCACCGACCTTTCCCATTTTCTCCACCCCTCCCTCCACACACCTACCCTCTTCTTCTAACGCCCGTCTCCACTCTCCCTGTCTCCACTCTCCCTGAATCCCGTCTGCTGACCCCACACGACAGGATTCTTTGTAGTCAGGGTTCAATTTAAAAAAAATAAATAAAAAGCAACCTTGAATAATGTTTGAAGATTACATGAGAAAAATTAATATCAATCAACTCTAAAAGGTTTGATGACAAGCAAATATTCTTCCTGATTTGAGAAACAACTATAAAACTAAACATAGGAGAATTATTCTAACGTGATGAAGTCTGTCTAACAATCTCACACCCGTCCTGGTGGGGTTGGGGGCAGAGGGAGGCTGAGCACAGGCAGGGCTGTGGGAAGGCATGAGGCCTCCTGGTCGTTGGCTGCTGCTCAAAGGACCTGGACTGAGAGACACAAAGGACATTACACGGCAGGGGCAGGGGGGGCCTGAAGTTGTGCGGGAACAGCCTGGTTCCCACAGCGCAGACATTCATGTTGATCTGCTTTCTTTCCTTAGGGACAAACCAGACCCAGAACAACAGTGAGACCGCAGACCTGACCCAGCGCAGCCCCACGATGGACGCTTGGTACACAGCCTGTCACGTGTTTGACATCCTGACCCTGCTCACCTGCGTGTGCGGGATGGTGGGCAATGGTGTGGTCGTCTGGCTGCTGGGCTTCCGCGTGCAGAGGAACCCCTTCTCTGTCTACGTCCTCAACCTGGCGGTGGCTGACTTCCTCTTCCTCCTGGGCCTGTTCTCTAACGACTATGCAGAATATTTCCCCCTGAACTGGGTAATAACTTATTTCTCCATCAGTGTGATGCTATTTGCATACGTTACCAGCCTGAGCTTCTTGACCACCATCAGTGTCCAGCGCTGTCTGTCCGTCCTCTTCCCCATCTGGTACAAGGTCCGCAGACCCCGACACCTGTCCACCGTGGTGTGCACCCTGCTCTGGGGGCTGAATCTCCTGGTTATCTCAATGATAGTTTACTTTGTTTTTGTTACGACACGTGGTCACAGTCAGCAATATGGAACGATACTAACTTTCCTTAGCATTCTCTTTCTGGGGGTCTTCACACCTGTTATGATCCTCTCCAGCATGGTCCTCTCTGTGCAGACCCTGAGAAGACCCCGCGCGTGGCGCCGGCGATCCTCCAGGCTGTTTGTGATCGTCCTGGTCTCAGTCCTGGTGTTTGTGGTCTGTTCTCTGCCCTTTGGCATCTACTGGACGCTCACGTACAGGCTCCCAATACTGTCTCCTTGGTATCATTTTCTGTTAGAGGAGTTGACCCAATTCACCTCAGCCCTGGGCAGCAGTGCCAACCCCATCATCTACTTCCTGGTGGGAAGTGAAAGTGGAAGTAGCCTGTGGGACCCTCTGACGGCCATACTGAGCAGGGCATTTCAGGAGAACCCTGAGTTGGGGAGGAAAGAGATGTCCCCCACAAGTACCAATGATACAGAAACTGAGAGCCAGGAACCCATGGGTTCTGCACAATTAAAGCCAGCCCTGCCTTAGCATGTGCAGAACCACCTTCTAGTCTGACCCTGCCACAGTGTCCGTGTAGACTCTGTG